GGGTAATTTCAGGGAATGATGACTTAGAGCGTTGATTGATTATGCACTATTAGACGTCATGAAACTATATCTTGCTCCAAGTTGATGTACTCTTGACCATTCAAACCCGACATCTTCTAGTGTTTGAGCACACTGAGGCAAAACACGTCTTAAACAGTTTATATGCTTATTAAAATCCACTTCCCGATAAGCTTTTACAGCCTTCCAGTATGTCCATTTGTGATTTTTTATACCAGCAGACCTTGATTTTAGATTTCTATACAAATGAACACCACAAAGTCCATGAAAAGCATCTGGGAAACACCTTCTAACAGCGTTGTCAATTGAGTTTGCCCTATCGGATATGATTGTCAGATTGCTAATAGGACCTATGCAATCCCTAAGATGCCCCATAAACCATGTTCATGAATCAGAGGTTCCAGATTTGCCAACCCCGTAAGCTATTGGCAGTATCCCATTATTAGCATCCATGGCTACTGCTAATAAGTTTACTCCAATGTATCGACCTTTTAAATGTGCTCCGTCAACTATAATAAATGGGCGCATCCAAGTAATAAACGAACGAATCTACAAAATCATATACACAAGAAATATAATCATTTAAATGTGAAATCCATGTAACTAACAAAAATGAGTCAACAAAATTATATTGATTTACTAACCACAACACCAATGGCGATAAACAGCAACTCAAAGCGTCCATCTCTATCTGTTTTGATATGAGGTACCGACCCAGGATTTTTCAGCTTTAAATTGTGACAATAAGCCGGCAGTTGGGTAAACGATGCTTCTGGCGACCCCCTCAACAATTCCAAGGCATAACATTTGGCTCTCCAAGTTTGAGAATATGAGATACTAATCTTGAACCGAGCATTCATGTCAGTCATAATTTCATGTCCCCGATATACCCTGCTATTCAAAAACATTAACACAGCCAGAAAACCACCCAACACCTTTTTGTTTACCTGTCTATGGTGAGGAAAAACTTGGGTTCTTGAACATGTATGTTTATCAATAAAAGTCCTAACTTGAAACATTTCGCAATCTTTTATCCTCTTTGCAATCATATGCCACGTACAGTTTTTGTCAATCATACACCTTGTTTCGGAACGATCTTTGCTTGATTTGTTAACTTTTAGTTGATAGCCATCTTCCACACTTTTCGTATACAAAGCTATCTTCAAGTCTTCATTTGTATCAAAACAATCATCTTTCTTGATACGAATAATTTTTGTGTAACAATCAACTGCTATATTTACCAACTCTTCTTCCGGTATCTGAAGTAATTATGGCATATTCCAGTTATACTCCCGTGGCATTTTCTTCGGGGACTTTTCTTTGGGGATTTTTTCTTCTTCTTTTTCTTATTCAGGGTTATATGAATTACAGAATGGATGTTCAACATGTTCATTTACCGTCGTAACTTCCTCCTCATTATCATCAACAATATCTTCCTCGGCAACGGCTGTTTCATCATCAAAATTCGGGTATTGACCAATATCAAAATCATTACACGCAGGGTCTGTTTCTTCTTCTGAAAAATCATCAAAATCTGAGTATTGACCAAGATCAAAGTCTGGGTATTGACTAAGATCAAATTTTGAATACTGACTAGTACTCACAATGTTTTCTGTTGGCTCATCATCGTCTAACTGGTCAATACGAAAACTGGAATTTGGTGCTGAAAGTTGATTGGGATTTGGATTAGGGAAAGGTTGTGGGTTTTGAGATTGTGTTTGGTATTGGAAATGTGGTGAAACAATATTTGCTTGGTGATAAAATTATGGTGGAACCATTAAATTTTGAGCACCATAAACTGGGGTTGAAAAACTTAGTTGATTACTACCCGCTACTGACCCAACTTCACTACTTCTAGGTTCAACAACATACAATGTAACATCATCACTTGAAACACTAATGTAAGCAATGAATCGTTCAACATCTTCATTGTCGGTTAACAAATAAACTTTACCATTTCTTTGATAAGATAGCCTAAATCCACTTAGGGGCTCTAAATTCAATTTATTTACAACACGTAACATTAGAGTTTCATAAGTTAACTTTTTTAATGACAGTTTTAGTTGAAGATTCATGGGTAAAGGCATATATTGTAAAACACCCATGAACATTCTCCCATGACCCTCCAAAACACAAATCTATCCAAACATGATCAACATTAGATGTTTTCATTATTGTAAATTAATTTACTAAACAAACGAGCTACGAAACTAAAATTTGTTGCCGGATGGGGAAGGATGTCGTTGGATATAGGAACGGATGTCGCCTAAGAGAGTGATAGATGGAGATGGAATGAGTTGCGATTTAGGGATTTAGGTTATGAGTTGTTGCTGCTGCGTAGTTATATACCCAAAACATTTGTGTTGTGAAACTAAAACCTGTTGCGAATTCAGAAATCGAGTTGCGAATTTGAAATTCAATATTGCGATAGTCAGAATCTCGTTGCGATAGTCAGATTCGCGTTGCGATTTACGTATTCGCATTGCGAATTAGGAAAATCGCAACGCGAATTTGGAAAATCACAATGCGATAGTCAGAATCGCGTTGCGAATCTGGAAACTGATTTGCGATACCGGAGATCGCGTTGCGAATTATCGATCGCATTGCGATTTAGTTGGTCATTTTGGCAAATCCAAAAAAAATGGTTAAAATCGTATATTATAAGGCATTTTTGGTCACTGAGGTTATTTTCTCATATTTATATATATATTTAAAATTCAAAGCACCAAATTAAAATCCAAGTATAAATATGGTTTATACTTCACCTTCAATTTCAAGCGTAAATTTCAATGTAAATTTTAATATAAATTTTAATTTTATCTCAAATATAATTTAAATTTTAGCTCAAGTATAAATAAGAAATTTGAATTTATATACTTTAATATTTAAATTTATAAATTTATTTATATATATTTTATATTTATACTATATTTTATATATATGTGTGTATGCGCGCGCGCTCACGCGTGTGTGTACTAATAATATGTATATATATATATATATATTTAATTATATATATATTTAGGCATAATGCAAACAAATACCCCTAACGTTTGACACTATATGCATTTGTTCCCAAATCATTTTTTTGGAGCAGTCCTACCCACAACATTTGATAATGAGGCACAAGTCCCCCCTTTTGGATGGAAACCGTCAGTCAACTGACGGTCAACGGTTCCATCTGACGTGGCATGCATATGTGGTCACCGATGATGACGTGGCATTTTCATGTCACTATTTTATGCTGACATGGAATTTACACGTCAGATTTTTATAATAAAATGTAATTTAAAAATGTGAACCAGTAGGAGAGTGACACGTGTTACTCTCCTATTGGCACGTATTTGATAGAGGGGATGAAAGGCTCCCAACGCGGTGAATGGGATTCAAACCTGGGGCAAGGGCGTGAAATGGGATGGCCTTTACCACCAGGCCATGCATGTTAATCGATAGTTATGTGTAACAATGTGGTAATAAACCAAAAATAAATGTCCAAGTTAAAAAAAAAACTTGATACACGCGTTTAGCATACATATACGCTTCAAACGGTATTTCCCCCAAACCCAAGTATCCCCAAATACAAATCAAACCAAAACCCTAATCGCATATCCCATTTCAATTTCGACTCCATCAAATCTCTTCTACAAGAACGGATTTTCCTTCAAGCAACAGCCTCAAGCCGATCAATTAAGCGTATATTTTGAAGGTGAGTTGATTTGTTTGAATGAAATCATAAATTATTTGAAATCGCAAATCCCCTTTCAATTTCGACTCCATCAAATATCCTCAATTTCGAATGGGTTTTTGATTTAGTTTTGTTAAATATTTTGGGTATGTGCGGGTTTCGAATGGGTTTTTGATTTAGTTTTGTTTAATGAATATTACTTGAATTAATTTAATAATTAACGTTGTTTGTTTGTTATTTGGGTTGTATTAGAAATTGTGTAATGGACAGGTTCACATGTCCAACCATCGTTAGTGTTTGCGACGAGATTTCGTCTACGACGGTGACCCAAAAAAGTGTTATTGTAATAAATTGGCATCTAGGAAAATTTCATGGAGCGATTTAAACCCCGGGAGAAGGTATTACGATTGCTCAAACTTTTCGGTAAGAATATGTTTAAAATGACCTTGTATTAGTTAGCTTGAACGATAAAATGTTGTTGCATATATCGATTGATAACAAATATGTTTTTCCCTTATTCTAGCATGGTTGTAGGTATTTTGAATGGTATGATGGTAGCATGCCAGAGCGAGCTAATTGCCTACTATGACAATTACGTGATAGTGAGTGAAATTTAACGAAAGAGAATGCAAGACTTAAAAGACATATTAGAAGTTGTTCCTGTGCTGCTCAAAGGATTAGTGTGTTATTGGAAGTGAGTGAAAGTGAAAGTGTTCAAAGCAAAGTTAATGAGATTGGAAGTGCGCAAAGTGAAGACAATGATAATGAATTAAAGGCAAAGATTAAGAGCTTGAAGGAAAAAACTAAAACAATGAAGAAACAAAAGGATTTTTATAAGACAATGTGTATTTTCTCAATGGTGTGTGTCATATGTATCTTTGTGGTAATTGTACTTGCAATAACACTTTAGGTGTTTTGTTAAAGATTAAGTGTTTATGTATGTGTAATACCAAGTGTATGATTGTTACTTATTGAGAAGAAATGACTATGTCTAATATTAAATGTTTAGTGTTTTATATTATATTGCCTAGTTAATATGCTTAAACCGAATAAACAGAAAATAGTCAAAAAGAAATGTTATTGATTCTTGAGTTAGGCATATATTTGCCATACAAAAAAAACATATATTACTGTTGCAGGGTATATCATATGAAGTTAGGCAGATATTTGCCATACATAAAAAGAAGCACAACCCAAAACATATACCCTAATAAAAAGCAGCACAACCCACTCGAATCATTCTCTACTATCTCCATTCCAAATCATTCTCCACTGAATGATGTTTTTCTTCATGATGTCAAATTTTTTTCTTGATTAGTGGCCCAAAATTGTACTTCCATGTAGTGAGGAATCTTTGTTTTTCAATTATTATTGTCATTATATTGATTCGAATCTCTTCAAGCATTGTAATGATGCTCTTGTACCTTGCATCTACAATACTCGAATTAAAAGCCTCACACAAATTATTGTCCACTATATCTGACTTGGAATGCATCATTTGAAAGACCTTGGTCCACATTTTCTCTTTTTTGCTAAACAATTCAGCAGCAAGTACGCTATCAATATTTGATAATACATATTTGTTCTTCTCCCATTCTCTCTCAGTCATGGACTTCACAATTTTCCAAAAGGCAAACTGATATGATTTTGCTCTCTTCCTTCCAGTCCAATTGGCAAACACGTGTCGAGCACAATTCCAATGTTCTACTCGTGGTAGAACATCATTTACAACAATCTCAATACCCTATCAAGCAAAATTTAACTTAGTTTGAGATTATATTCAATTATCATAGAACAACAAGTTATATAACAACAACAAGTCAGACTGTTAACAGTACAATAACAACTAGCATCAAGTAAATTTAATATATTGATTTACCTTGTGTTGGTCACTGATGATGGTGTAGCCAAATCCATAATCCAATCCCAAGTATGCTACCACTATATTTAGAAACCAAGACCAAGAATCTGTGCTTTCACCCTCGACAACAGCCCAAGCGATAGGGTACATCTGATCATTGACATCTCTCCCAACAACAGATAAAAGTATGCCTTTGAATGGGCCCTTAAGGAAGCAGCCATCTACACCGATTATAGGCCTACACCCTTCTTTCCAACCTCTCTTCATAGCATCAAAGCATACATAAAATCATTTGAAGTGAGGTGGAGAATTATCTGACACCCTATTTGTTGTCATCTTTATTGTACTCCCTGAATTCTTTGCCCGTAACTCATCTGTATAATCCCTCAAGTTTGCAAATTCTTATTTCATGTTTCCACCCAACATTGATGTCACTATTTTCTTTGACCATCGACATTTACTTAGATTAACATTTACATGTATTTCATATTACACCCTTCTTTGTATCTCTTTAAGCTTCATTTTTGGGTGGTCTCTAATTGTATTTTCAAAATGTTCTGCAATTACCTTTGCAGTCACCATCCCGTTATTAAAACTAACATGACAGTTGTGTTCATCTATGAAAGTCTTCACCTGTAGACTCCCTACCTTCTTATTTCTACTCATATTGTTTCTCCATGGACAACTCTTAGATGCATTACATTTGTAACTAATCATGTTAGTTTCAGAATGTACATGTAACATCCTTAATATCGGGTTAGTGATTAAATTATAAAGTTTTAGAATTTGGTGATTAAAGTAGAATAATTGAATAGTTTAATGAGTTATATGAGAAATATTGTGTAGGATTGAAGTGTAAAGAATAAGAAATTGAAGGACAGAATGATCTTTTTGGAAGGAAATAATTTAATTTGGGTTATGGTTATATTAACTCACGTGGAAGGCAAGAAAGCTAAAAATCTAAGCTTCCAGAGATATCTTTTTCTTCTTTTTTCTTCAAACGTGAAGACCCCAAAGTAAAGGTAAGTTTCATTATTAATTGATTATTAGTTGAAATTCAAGTTGTGTTTTGATTATTAGGTGATAATTAAGCTTAAGTAAAGCTTAATTTGTTCTAAAACAACAAGATGAGGAGAATAGGAAGGATTAAAGAAAGAAAATGGAAAAGTGAAATCTTGAAAGAAAAGTATTAAGTAGATTCAAAGCTTAAATTTGACTTGTCATTAATGGAATTAAGGAATAGAAAGTGTTAGAATGGGAATTAGAACATGTTGAAAATTAAGTGTGATTCTTGAATGTCATATAAAGGATAGGATTTTGAGTTTAAGGAAGTGATTATTGAGTAGGAATGAGTGTAAGTATATGTATGCAATTTAGGGATGTTAAAGGAGGTGAAATATTAAGAGTTGATCTGAAAAGAGTGATTTTCGTGCTTAAAATGACATTTATAGGCTAGGGGTAACGATACTCATTCAACAGGTATCGATACCCTCTCAAACGAAAGAATCACAGAATATATTGAGGGTATTGATACCCCCCAGCTGGGTACTGATACCCCCCATTGAACGAAAAATCACATAATGCCATGAGGGTACCGATACCCCCTAAAGGAAAAATATAATAGTGATTCCTTAAATTTGTTTAAGTTATTAGAAGCAAATTACAAGGTTTAGGCATCTGATAATCATTTTGAAAATTTTATCTATGTAGATACAGAGTTTAAACAAGTTTCGGAAAAATTGCCTAGTAAGATCGATCGGGGGAAAAGCAAAGGAATATAGGTGAGTGCATATTAGAGATGTAGTTCAAAGGAATTAAGACTTGTGATAAGTCTATTTCCTAGATTAATTTCATAGCATGGTAGTTATGAACATGCATACATTGTAGTCTTTATTAAACATGCATAAATTATATATATGTTGACATATGATTCGATACATGATCCATGTGAATGTACTCAAATACTTATGTTACATGATATGAGATTAATGGTTATATGTATATGGGAAATGTGATAGAACAAATGATATATGTGATTATAAGGAAAATGATACAAGTACATAGTTATATGAAATATAATATTAATGCCCATGTGATGTAATGTGAGAGCTATATGTATAGTTAACATTCCAAGAGTCGAGGGTTTCATAGGTCCTTTGGGACAACTCATAGGTCCTTCGAAACATACCCACAGGTCCTTCAAGACAATTTCATATGCCACTCAGTGGGAATTATACGAGCTGTGGTGACAACATATGTGCACAACCTCTATGTACTCGAATACGTTAAGTTCTCAGTATATATATGGGCCTATAAATAATATGGAAAAATGTGTGTATTGCATTATAGGGTATCATACTAATATTGTTCATAGTGAATCATATAAATAAAATGAAATTGTGAATGATAGTGATGATTTTATATAAATAACATGTCTCATATTCATATCCATAGGAAATGCATTATTATATATTTATGCCTCACTAAGTCTATGACTTAGCGTGTAAGTGATTTACACGTAGGTTCAGAAAAGCAAGAAGACTGGTCTTAGGAGCAACAGAGCAACATATCCTCATTTGAAGATCATATCATAAGCACCTTACATAGTATGTTGGTTTATGTTTTATATGTTTTGGCATGTAAATAGAGTTATATAGTATGTATATTGTGATCGAAGTGTAATGTTTTGAACTTGTAATGTAATTATAGTTTTGTGTTAATGAAAGTTTTAAATTTATGATGGTTTTATAAATGCACAAGCTTTGAAAAGTCAATGTGACCCATCGAATTTGTATTTGGGTCGGAAACGGGTTGGGGTGTTACATTTAATGGTATCAGAGCCAGGTTTAGTCAATTCTCTGCATAAATCAAAGTTCAAAGTGTCATAAAAAGTGTATATGCCAACATAGTAATAAGAACTTCTAATCTGATAAGAGTAATGAGTATGTTGTTTAGCTAATATAGATATTTGATTATGTTTTATTAGATGTCCGAACAAGATAGCTCCTGAAGTGAAGTGGGAGATGAGAGATTAGCTGAGAGCAGTAATTCACCTGCCCTGGCCAGGCAAGGTGAAGAACAAACACCTTCTGGAGTGCATGTAGCTGATCAAGATGTATTATTTAGGACGTTGGACGTGGTATTGGCACGTTTCCAACCTCCTGCTACTTCAACTCCGAGAATGAATGTTGTAAAAGAGTTAAAGGGTTTAAGAGCTCCAGAGTTTTAGGGTGAAGTCGAAGAAGGTCTTGTTGTTGTGGATCTTTGGCTTAATGATGTGAAGATTATGCTAGAAGAACTCCACTGTTCTGATGTGGAGAAGCTTGACGGAGTAGCTCTTTGCTTCGTGGGCAAGCGATAATATGGTGGACAAATGTCACATTGAGGATGACAAGTGATCCTGTGGCATGGTCTCTATTTCTAGAAGAATTTCGGCATAAATATATAGGGGACAAATTTATCAAACAAATAAAGCAAGAATTTCTGAACTTAAAGCAAATGAACCGCACGGTGTATGAATATGAGTGTGAGTTCAACAAACTAAGTCGCTTTGTAGCGGAACTAATGCCTACAGAGAATGATGCATGCGAATTGTTTGTGGAAGGCTTGCGCCCGAGGTTGAAAGAGATGTTGATTGTGTTGAATTTGTCTTCATTCCAAGAAGTAGTGAATCGTGCTAAAGCTCTTGAGAGAGCTCAGAATGAGTAGTTTGGGGAGCAAAGATCCCAACCATCCAAAAGAGTTGGAGCTTCATCGAGTTCTGTACCGCCCAAGAGAGGTAGAGATTCAGGCTTTCGATCTCAAGCAAGATCAGAATCGGTGGCATCATCTGCTAGAGAATCAAATCAGATGAGAGTAAGACAGACTCAATCTTTAGGGTCTGGTGAAGGGCGAGCATATCAGATTCAAGTTACACAGTGTCAGATTTTGGGAGAAATCATAGTGGCATATGCAGAGTTAAAATAGGAGCTTGTTTCCGATGTGGGGAAACAAGGCATTTTATGAGGGATTGTCTTGTGAAAACCGAAGAGCCAATCCAACCGGAAAGATCTGCTTCAATGTCTCAGAGGGGACGAGGTAGAGGTAGAGGAAGAGGAAGAAATCCGATAGAATTTGCTACTCAACAGGAGGTTCAATCCACTGCTCGGGTATATAACCTCAAAACTAATGAAGACCGGGATGATTCAGAAATTATAATAGGTACCTTCTTACTATCGAATATATGTGTCATGGCATTGACTGATCCAGAATCTACTTATTTATATATCAATAGTAAGATGGTGAAAGAATTGAACATTCCATAAGAAGACACCAGTAATGAAGTTATAAATACGAATCTGTTAGGGCACAATGCTCGAGTTAATAGAAGGTGTCGAGGGTGTCCCATACATATTCAGGGAATTGAATTCCCTATTAATCTGATGGAATTACCTTTTGACAAAATTTAAAGTAATCTTGGGAATGGATTGATTATATCGTTATTATGTAAATGTTGATTGTAGATTAAAGAGGGTAACGTTAGTCAACTCAGATGGATTAGAAGTGGTAGTATTCAGTGAATGATGAAATCCATTGGCAAATGTTATTTTTGTGATGTCAGCAAAGAAGCTATTTCTGCAGGGATGTCAGGGGTTTATTGCGAATGTGCTGGATGTGAGAACTAAAGAAAAGGGGATTGAGGAAATTCCCATAGTTCAAGAATTTCCTGATGTATTTCCTGCAGAATTACTGGGTTTACCTCCTAATAGAGAGGTTGAATTCCATATCGAAATAATGTCGGGAACTGCGCCTATTGCCATGACACCATACAGAATGGCTCCAAAGGAGTTGCAAGAGTTAAATATTCAGTTGCAAGAATTATTAGATAAGGGATTAATAAGACCGAGTGTCTCACCATGGGGAGCTCCAGTATTGTTCGTAAAAAAGAATGATGGATCAATGCGTCTCTGTATAGACTATAGACAACTCAATAAAGTAACCATTAAGAATAAATATCCTCTCCCTAGAATTGACGATTTATTTGATCAGTTGAAGGGAGCTTCGGTCTTCTCTAAGATTGACTTGCGATCGGGATATCATCAATTGAAAGTTCAAGAGAAAAATATTCCAAAAATCGCATTTAGAATGAGGTATGGCCACTATGAGTTCATTGTGATGCTCTTTGGAGTTACAAATGCACTCGCTGCTTTTATGGACTTGATGAATCAAATTTTTCAACCTTATTTGGATCAATTTGTAGTGGTGTTTATCGATGACATATTAGTATATTCAAAGACAAATGAAGAACATAGTGCACATTTGAAGATAGTCTTGCAAACTCTTCGAGACAAGAAGTTATATGTCAAGCTATCCAAATGTGAGTTCTGGTTAAATGAAGTTATATTTCTCGGACATGTGATTTCTGTGAAGGAATTCGAGTGGAACCTTAGAAAGTAAAAGCTATTCTTGAATGGGAGGTTCCCAAGAATGTATTTGAAGTTCGCAGTTTCTAGGACTTGTCGGTTATTATCGAAGGTTCGTTAAGAACTTTTCGATGATCACTCTACCAATGACCAAGTTGATGAGAAAAGGTGTAACGCTTC